CACACACACACTCTCACACTCACATACACACACACACACACCTCCCTCCTCTCTGCAGCAGAGAAAACTGCACTGAATCTACGATGACACAGCAAAAAGAAATGTGCTGAAAGAGACGTTGTTCTGCATAAACGGACTTTCTTTGAGCAGACCAAAGGTTGGCAGGTGACACTGCAGCTTCCTGTTGACCCTGCGTCAGCCCACGCTGAGTCCCTCTGAGACACATCCTAGAAACCAACGCTGTCTCCTGCGGTCTGTGCTGTTTTTAATCTCTGCAAACTGCGAGGGCCGGATGGTGAGGTCGGTCGACTCGGTGGATTCTCAAAGAATGAATCACACTGATTTTTGGTGACACCCGCTTTTCCTCGCAACCAATACTTTGATTTCATCACAAAATGCCTTGATACCTACTCACTGATGGACATGAACGGGTCCCCAGAGGATACATCTTATGGTTTCTGATCTTTCCTCTAGTGCCACCATGGGGACAAGATTGTCACTTGTATAAGACTAATGTAAACCTCACTAGACAGTGATAAGCATCAGAGAGTCTGTTCATGCTCCCCAGAGGATGGGCGGCTTCAACAGCATTTCGATCTTTCCTTTATGTCACCGTCAGGACTAAATGTCAACTTTGCACACGAGAACATCCATCGACAAAAGACTCAACTTCGGAGGGAGTCAACCTTTCTCTTTCAGAAAAAAGCATATTGTCCCCTGGGTGAAAACTTCAGATTGTTGGGTGTCATGGGCAAAGCAGCCTCTAGGGGTCTCTGTTTCAAACCACTGATTGGTTTGTAGACTGGCGAGTGTCTGACGTGGGCGTGTTTTCAACTTCGCTGTTGTTTTCGCAAACTTAATTGAATAAAGAGCTTAGGAAGAAAGTTCTGTGATTTCATTATGGTTTTACAACCAGCTAAATGAACGTCCTCACTCAATTCTTGTCTCCATCCATCTATTGGATGGAGGGAATAACAAAACTTTGACCTGCTGGTTGCGCTAGAGGAAAGGTTTCAGAAACAAGATCAACAGATGTCACAGCAATTCGTAAAATAATATTTGTTGACTGTGACACCGCGATTCCCTTCATTTGCATAATTCACATCCGACATTCCCCCTGTTTCTACATGTGCTGGAAGCAGTTGACCAATCAGAGCAGACTAAGCTTCATCTTAAAGACACAGGAGCTAAAACCAAGTGTTTGAGACGCAGGCTGAAAAGAGGAGCTGCAGCGAAAGTGATGCAAGCATGAAGACAATTTACAGTCTTAACTCTAATTAACTTTATCAACCTGAGGAGGAGCAGAATGTGTCTCCTTGAAACATCAACGTTCAAAACAAGCTACTGCAGACGATCAATCTGCATCAGCTCCTCCCACACTCGGAGTTCTGCAGAGTTACAACTGCACCACTAAATAAGGAAAACAGAAGTCTGACGGGGTGTGGGTGTTGGTGTCATCTCTGAACAGGAACTGGTGGCAGGTTACGCAGCAGCTTCGCTGTTTTAAATGGATAAATGAGCTATTTCAACATAGGAATGTGAAACTATCAGAGAAATAAAAGTACAGCCCTGAGGGTGCAAGCTTTAGAGACATGGAGAGCAGGCATCAGAAACAGCCACACCCGACATCTGAGCAGATGCTTCGCTGAGGACGACACAGGCTGAGGCGACTTGACATCAGATTGTTAAAACCCACACAAACACATTATCGGACCACTTACATCGCTCACCTGATTACACAGCTGCACAGCACATGCCTCTTTGATAACAACCTTGTTCTCAGATTCAGGGCTTAGAAATGAAACTTGCATTAACTGGTTGGAGAACATGGAGTCAAGTTTCCAGTTTGTCCCGTCGCTCTGTAAAAACTATGCCCCGATAAACGAAAGCTTGACCTTTAATGCGTCACCTCGTGAAAAACCTGCGCAGGATATTGTAGAACAGATTATGTAATGCAACACATACAGTGTTTAGTGCTTTGACAGCAGAGTCACACGGCTCAAGGCCAACGGGTAAGAGAGAGCAGAGAGTCTTAAAAGATTAGTGTCCTGGCAAGTGGAGCCGTGTGGTATATCTGCTGTTTAACCTCACCAGAGAAACACACACAATCTGGAGCCCTCAGCCTCAGTGACAGACAGTTTCACGCTGAGAGGCTTGGGGGGGTGCAACTAGAGGGACTCACATTAGAATTAGAAACCTGCTGTTTACCTGTGCACATCATCTTGAAGTCCTCATAGTCGGTGCCTTGTCCTGCAGGTACGATCATGACGCCCTCGTATTTGAACGCAGCCCTGCACAGAGACGCAGACACATTATCACACCAGACATGTTCCCGTCTGAGGATCTGTTGATTCACAGCGACGACATCAAAGACACATCACAGCCATTTTTTATTCTGCAAACTGGAGCAATGCACAAAAAAGCCTCAGACGCCCACGTGGTGTGTGTGTGTGTGTGTGTGTGTGTGTGTGTGTGTGTGTGTGTCACTACTCTAACGTTATCCTCTGAATACAGGACAAAGGAAATTACTTCTGCCCCGCTGGGCCTGAGGACTGAGCGGAGTGTGACCGCTGAACGGCCTGAATCCGGATCACAGCACCGGGGCCTTGAACGCTCCACGTCTTTCTACCTTCAGCTGCTACAAGCACAGAAAACCCTGGACTCCGGTTTTCACGCAATAACTGTGAAACGATGTGAAACGGTCTCGCCCCTGTGTGCCATTGTAGCGCGTACTCGCGGCGATTGAATTGAACTGCCTTTACTTTTCTGGCAATTTAAAGGTTTCTACGCCCAAGTACACAAGACCACGAATTATAATACACAATTTATTACATATTAGAAATCATCAGGAGTCTATCTGTCATTCGGCGTGTTTCATCTCATGTGAACTGCGCGGATTTATCTAAAATATAATAATTTTATTAGAACACTTCCTCGTTCCGCACCCTTCTCCACAGACCCGGCAGCGCAGCATCAGGGAGGGGACGCGCTGTGTCAATGCACATATTTAAAAGAAATGGAAAATTAAAACAAGTCGTTTGACGTGTTGTATTAACGCCGAACCGAACCACAACTAGTTACTATTCTGCTGATGTTCTGGTTTCTTACGTGCGACGCGTTTAACTGAGCAGATGCACGCTTCTAAACAGAATGGCCGCATTCTTGAAGGGAGTCTGGCCGAGTCGCACTCACCAGTTGGTGTCCGTGTTGTCGTCCCTCACGTCGTTGTAAGCTTCTCTCACCGCCTCCTTGTCGATCTGCGTGGACATGGTGGCGAGGGTCCGGGTGAGGCCGCGGGTGAAGTCTGCGGTGATGTGGCTGTGAACCGGGCGGGAGGAGGGTGGAGGCTCGGCGGTGATGGAGGAGCGAACTTCTCTGGCTGAGGCCGAACTACCGGTGATGCGGTTACACAACAGGCGTCTGTCCCCCGCACTGAGCGCTCTGGAGCCGGGTGGACTCAGCGGAATGAGGCGGCTCCTCTTCCAGCAGCTCGGGTCATTTCCTGGAGGATGGTGGGCGGTGGCGATGCGGCTCGGTCAGGGAGGAGAAGAAGAAGAAGTGATGATGAAGGAGAAGAAGAAGAAGAAGAAGAAGAAAAGTCCTGACGACCATCAACAGTACCAGGTTGTCAAGGCAACCAAATGTGCACGATCAGCTTCCGGTACAAACTGTCACAATAAGAGGAACAGCCAGGTGGAAGCATGTGTTTTATAAATAAAAGATTCTTATAATAAAAGATTCTTATAATCAGAATGAAAACTCCTTGTGTTCATTTAAACAAACGCATTTCAGCAGAATGATTCGATCACTAATTTTATACAGTTTGTTAATATCTGTTGGGTTTTTATCTATATCCACTTAATATTACAAACAGAATGCAGGAAAAAAGAGGAAATGACAGAAAGGCAGATATTCAAATTCAAAACTACTGTATTTGTTCCCAGGGGACGATTCTAACGCACATAAAGAAAGACAACACGTAAACACAGAAAACAATGATCACATCAGTGCAATGAACATTTAAATACTGTCCAGTTTACTAAAGTTATAAAGTGAGAGTTGTGTATGTGACAGTAAAAGGACGGTGAGGATGTGAAAACTGATAGTTGGAATGTAGACAATGACTGAATGATTAAAGTGATCGAGTGCACTGAGGTAAGTAATACACACATGAAGAAGTACAGGACCAGGTAGCAGCAGATGAATAAATACTGTAGCGTATGAATAAATATACACACAGCAGGAATAGATTAATAAATACAGCAGCGGATACATGAATCTAAAGCTGATCAGTTAGTATAAGAATATACTGTAGCAGCAGTGTGTGAAGTTCAGTTGCTTGAGAGTCTGTGTGGGGGATGTAACTGAACGTCTGTCAGGAGATATTGATTCTGTGCGACGGAGATAAAAGAAGAGAATTGGAAAAGTGAAGCAGAAATATGAGAAATGTCTCAAATATTAATTATTAATATAATTAAATGAGTAATGTTTGGAGAGACCATGTGATATCTGAGTGTGTTCTTGAATCTTACTCTCAATGTCAACAGTGATCTTTGTGTGTAGGTTGTGTTTGTTTCTTTCTCTTGGTAAAATAAAGGTTTTTCCAAACACCCACCCAGCTCAACAAGGTGAAACTTTAATATGCATTTAATGACGTCACTATAATTTACTGGCAGTGGTTCGTTTGTTGTAATCTGAAAACCAGGAAACGTGTTTTCTCAGCGACAGGTTTGACGCTGTTTTAATCTGAAGGCAAAATTAACCACTTCTGGTTTTTCTTGGGCCAAATTCTTTAACTTGACAAAAGCTCTGCAGAGGAATCAGTTTCATTTGAGCTCATCACGTCTGTTACTGATGATCCACATGGAACTTTAATAAAAAACAATCTGACACCTTCACTGTGCTTTTATTTGAACATGATGTCTATTCTCCATAATGCAAACACAACTGTACCATTCAGTACAAGACAAACTGTACAACTACACAACACAGATACAATAAGTAGTATATCTCTCACCTGGGGGGGGGGGGGGTATGTTTGTAAGCTGGGAGGGGGTCAGACAGTGCAGAGGTCAAAGGTCACACCATCAGTCTGAATTCTGAGGCTGCAGCTTGTCCATCACTGCATCCTCGCGCCCCCTGCTGGTCGAAAACCATCTCCACAGCCTCACACATCTCACTGTCATATTTCTTACATTCATACTGATCATTTATTCATGACGTGTCTCAGAGGTGATTAGTTTTATGTATGTTTTAAAATGTGATCAACTTTGCAGATTTTGTTTTTGATGAATGTTTTAAATTTATATACGAGACGAGCTCTGCTTTACAAAATAATGTCAGTGATAATAATATAATAAATCTTATTTTTATGTTTATTTGATTTTTCATTTTTGTGATAGTTAAAAAAAAGTCTCTCGAAACGTTTGATGACGTCTCAGTCTTGGATGTGATCTGGTTTGTGATTGGTCCGTTTAGCAGCATTGAGCTTCAAAATAAAATAGCAACGTAACGTATTGACGATCTTTTCCAATAAAAATGACATAAACAACTAAATTTCCAGTGACTGATAATTCCTTTGCTCTTATTGTTGGTATAAGTTCTAATGAAATAAAACCTTTATTCGTTGTCAGTTGAATGTTTTAGTTGCGGGACGTATACAACAAAGAGATTTATTTTGAAAACTACAAGCGGAAGTGTTTGTTTATCCAGCTGACAGGAAGTGGTGCAGGTCAGTTTTTATGTTATTAACGTTTTTACAGGTGTGTGTGTGTGTGTGTGTGTGTGTGTGTGTGTG